CTACCTACCTACCCACCTACCTACCTATCTACCCACCTACCTATCTACCTACCTACCCACCTACCTACCTATCTACCCACCTACCTATCTACCTACCTACCTACCTATCTACCCACTTACCTATCTACCTACCTTACCCACCTACCTACCCACCTACCTACCTATCTACCCACCTACCTATCTACCTACCTACCTACCTACCTACCTACCTACCTATCTACCCACTTACCTATCTACCTACCTTACCCACCTACCTACCCACCTACCTACCTACCAATCTACCTTTTTTTTTTTTCTTTTTGAGACAGGGTTTTTCTGTGTAGCCCTGGCTGTCCTGGAACTCCCTCAGTAGTCTAGGCTGGCCTCAAACTCACAGAAATCCACCTGCCTCTGCCTCCTGAGTGCTAGGGATAAAGTTTTGCATCACCACTGTCCAGCCTATCTATCTATCTATCTATCTATCTATCTATCTATCTATCTATCTATCCATCCATCCATCTATCTATCTATTTTTCTATTATCAGCTTGATACAGTATAAATTCTTATCCTAATAGTGAAATGTATCATTGAGGCCTGCCCAGTAACTGAGTAACTGTGGCTTATAATAAGTTTTGGTTTTACTCAATTACTATTTTTTTTTATGCAGGTCTCACCATGTAGCCCTGGCCTGGAACTCACTTTGTAAATGATACTGATCTTGAACTCACAGAGATTCTCCTGCCTCTGCCTTCTGAGCGCTGGGATTAAGGCATGTTTCATCACACCTGGCTATGTTTACTTTACATAAATGATTACATAAGAATCCACTGTGGTTTGTGCATTTCCATGGGGTAGCCTGATTTCAAGATCCACCAGGGTCCACTGAACTGGGACTTCCAGGTGCTGTAGACACAGCCTGGGCCAGGCCGTTCCCTGGCCCCTCTTCTAAGCTGTCTTCAGCTCCTGCCATCTGTCTGGAGTCTGAAAATGATCTTTTTTTTTTCTTCTCTATCTCTCCTCACAACAAAAGACACAGTAGCCTTTTCCTCAAGAGAAAGCTGGAGGGACTGGGGACTGAGAAAGTTCTAGAAGGCTGGCAGCACACAGAACTCGGGGAAGAAGGGCTGGGGAGTGAGCAGGAACACGTGTGGCGATTGCCCCGTGGTGTCAGCTTCCCTGCGTGGCACGTTCTGCATCCCACAGACTCAGTGTCACCTAGCCAGGATGTCACCTAGACGTGTGCACTTGGCCCCCGGCAGGTGATGCTTTTTATGGGAGGCTGTGAAACCTTTAGGAGGTGGGACCCTGCAGAGTCACAAGGGCTGGGCCTTAAGTTTTGACAGCCAGACCCCACTTCCGGTCCTCTTTCTGTTTCTTGACTTCTGACCCAATGCACCGCAGCCTCACATTCCTGCTACCATGCCTTTGTGGCCATGATGGCCTGCGCCCTCAAACTGTGAACCAAAACAAACCCGTGCTCCCTTCCGTTGCCGCCTCCGCCAGACTTCTTCCCAGGGACCCTGTCTCACCTCGTGGACGACAGCTCCAGCTCCAACACGGGCATGGGAGCCTCTACTACATATCCAGAAGCGGGTCTGTATCACATCTGTCTGTCTTTCTGCAGCAACTGCTTGGGAGAGTGCTATCGTCCCTGCCCTCCCCGCCATGGGTCAGCACCTCCATTCTCCGAAGGGAGGTCTCAGGATGGCAAAGGATCGCACCCCCCTCTGCCAACGCCAACACAAACCATCCCAGACCTCCTTCCACCTGTTGCTGGGCTAGAGGATGTTTCAGGCCTTGGAGACATCCGCATCACCTCTGAGACCCGCCAACCTCCTCTCATTTCATTCTGAGCCTTGACCTGAAAAACTTATCAAGAGGTGGTCTGGGGAGGAGGCCTAGGTTCCTGTTCAGTGTGGCCTGGGCAGAGTGTGTGCCTCTCTGTGCTGCTGCCCCTGCTTGGTTCTCCTTTAAAATGACAACATGGGCTCTTAGAGGGGAAGGGGCACAGGGCTGCCCGGGCCCACTTCCCTGCCAAAGCAGGATGCCCTACCTGACCTTTCAACTTCGGTGTGGGCGGGCCATTCCAATGTCAGGGCTCACACTGCCTCACAGAGAAGCCCATTTGCCTCCTGAATAATCTCAGCATTGTAAAGAACTTCCTGGGGTGAAATAAAGAATTAATAAGATGTCTAACAGGAGCTACGTACTCTCTCCTGGCACCAGGCATGGTCCTGAGTACTCTTACTGGCTTATTCCAATTGAATCCTCCTACCCCAGCCTACTCCTCCCCGGTCCCACCCTGCTTCTGAAGTGAAAAACACAGCCCATCAACAAGCTATGATCTTCAAACCTGGGGGCAGTGCAGAGGGCATGGACCGGAAAGGGGAGGAAGCTGATGGACACCAAGGAATGCTGATGGTATTGAGTGGTCGGGCCCGAGTGTGCTGTCACGTCTACACCATGTGCTAGCCCTCAGAATCAGGTGGGGTCTGTCAGGATTTGGGGCTCAGAGCCCGGGTGCCTTTCATGCTGCTTCTTATAGCACACAGAAAGGGTCCAGGGGCCCTCGAGGTCCTGGTTTGCATGTTGAAGGGCAGGACAGACATTGGGTCCATAACACCATATTCCAAAACCACCTAAGTCCTAATTCCTCTGTAACAAGGAGGGGGAAAGGCGGTGGCCCA